CTGTAAATATTTGTAGGTGAGAACCATCACAATGATGCACATCATACCAGCTGTGATCACAAAACCAATCAGCAAAGGGGTGAACAGGGTGTGGGGATGGGTTTGTTCTAAAATGGAAGAGAAGAGGGAACCACAAATTATTAGTGAGATTGGGTCTTTGGTCCAACCATCTATTTCAAATGGACCCACCTCACATCTTACAGTTCATGCAGGAGACACTTGGTTACAATTTACTCTTGCTATTCAAAGGAATCAAAATACAACCTCAAGCCAGATGACTGAGAAATTTAAATTTCTATAGCATACAAATAATTTTATGCTGTTTCAATGCAAAACAAGATCTGAATGGACTTTCCACTTCAAAATCCTTAGACAACTTTAATCTTCCTTTATGAACAGTTTAGTTTCTTTATGCTTTCTTATGTTTGCAAAATTTTCTACACTGAGCTTAAATGTCTTTCACAACTAAGAAAAGCACTTTTAAAGTATCCTTTTCATGGCCCTGTCTAGAAAGATGAATAATGTAGAACAGTGTAAGATTCTTCTCCTTATTACTAAAAAGTTGAGAAAATACTGCTTTTTGCCACTCTCGCCAACTCAAAAAAAGAAGAAAATTACAAGACCACAAAAAACTGAACCCTAAAAATTTAAGTACCAAGTTTGTCTTCTAACTTTATACCAATTCATCAATTTCTCCTCAAGGATCACTTAAGTTATGCTAAAAGAGCTAGTAACTCATGAAGCACATTGTAAAGAAACTGTTTGCTAGCATGATGATATCAAGGTCAGGGTTAACTTTCTGATATAGTGTCTGGCAAAGTCTTAATTCATTTTATTTTTTAGATTTTTTTGGTACTGGGGATTGAACTCAAGACCTTGTGCTTGCAAGGCAAGTGCAGCACCACTGAGCTAAATCCCTGGCCCTCATTTTATTTATTTTTTCCTCTCTTTATTGACACACTGAGAGTAATACAAATGTATAATTGAATTTAAATTTTAAATTGTCTTAATTATGCTTGAGCATAAGGTAAGCATATTCTGCTATTTACTTCTAACCTCTTTCTAATGGAGACAATTATGAACATTTAGAGACATTATACATGTGGGTATATACACACACAAAAATATATATAAAGAAACATGGTTAAAAGTACTCTGGAAAAGCATAAACTTCATTAACAAATTAGTACAGAATGAAATTTAGTGAATTTGATGACAGTATGGCATGATGTAAGTATTACCAGAAATGATACGGCCAATATTGAAATGGACTTAAAGTCATGATTGGCATGGTAGACAAAGCCTAATATCCCCTTAAATTGGAGTAAAAAGAAATATACCTTTGTTGTTACCTTTAAATGCAAAGTTAAAATAGGCAGAAATCTTGCCCACATCGTTGGAAGCCTTACACTCAACTGTGCCGTTGTGCCTGAACATGCTAGAATCTATAGAGCTCTGAACCAGGAGTTTTCCAAATGGTGGCACAGAGGAGTTCTGAATCTGGACATCCACCGGTTGTACAGAATTAGAACATCTAGGGACAGAAAAGAACAAGGTAGCCTTATTCAAGGGAAACAAACAAATACGTGAAAACGCCTTGGATTTGGCATGTTTATAACAAAGTTGAAGTTTCACAATTAGTAATAATTCTTCTACAGCCATCAGAAGTTGAGTACTTCAGTGGTCCTGAAAAAGGTGCAAATTCCTGTGGAAAAGAAAGAGGGAGAAGTTTTGGGGCTAAACGTGAGTTTGAATCTTGACTTAAACACGCCTATTCTATCTACTCCAAGATTCAGGGGGGGAAAGCCAGGTGTGGTGGTGCAGGCCCATCACCTTAACACTATGGGAGGCTGAGGCAGAAGGATCTCAAGTTCAAGCTCAGCCTTGGCAACTTAGCAACTTAGTGAGATCCTCTCTCAAACTTTACCAAGAAAACACTGAAAAAGGGCTGAGGATGCACCTGAGTACATATGCCCTGGGTTCAATTCTCAGCACTGGTAAAAGAAATAATAGTGGCAAAGGCCAGACTCTGACTGTATTCAATGCCTGGCCACTTCCCATTCCCTTTGTAACACCTACAGTGTATATGGTAATTTTTACACTGACTACCCCTTCCACACCCACTAAAATATAGTCTCCTAAAGGTAGAGATCAGGTACGCACTGTTCACTAGACCAGCACAGTCTGACTCCCAGTCATCCCACCACAAATATTTGCTGAATGTAAGACTATAACTACTAGGGCTACTTCCACTGGAGCCATATACTTTCCGGGGGTCTTGGACCCTCCATATTATTCCCCTAAAGAAAACATTCCATAAAGCTCCTCCCCAAACAATAATCCTATGTAACCTCTGACATATTAGCATAAAAAGGACTATTCCATGAAAAATAAAACTTCTACCAGTATTCTGACTATTCAGTTCTGATGTTAAAATGGACTTTTAAAGCCAGAGCATTAAATAGCATTTGATGGATAAAAACAGCAATGCTGACCCCATTTTCATCTTAAGGTAATGTGAAAGGACAATTTAAGGCTTAAATGTGGACTGTGAGGAAGAAGCAGCACAATGCCAGGTGTTCTCTGTTCAGGGCCTGGGCACCTAATCAAGGAGAAAACCTTTTTAAAACCCACTGCTTACAAATGCCATATGTATATTGTAATTGCGTGATCATTACTTTTTGGTAACTTGACAATTAACTTGTGAGGTAATTTTTTCATGATAACTACAGCCACATTTCCCACACACATTACCTCCTGTGTATAGAATGGAAATCTAATTACTCTGTCCTAGAAAATTGCTTTATCTACCTGCAGGCTAGAAATTGCATGATAAATCCAAAAAGATAACCACCAAAATAGAGAAGTCATTCAGTAATCATTTTCAGCAAACAAAATTAATGTCTACCAGGAAAAACATAGTCATTATTCCTCTCTTAAAAAGCCACATGGATTAAAAAAAATAATCAAAACAAAGCTTTTTCATAAAAAAAAATCTGAAAACACATTTCAAATTCAACTGAATTACAGTCCTTCCCTTCTGCATTTTAAGCAGTGCCAAAAATAATCATCTCACCTCTGCTCCATTCCTGGACAAAAATACCAATCTATTGTGGGCTCTGGGAATCCCGCTGCCACACACTGGAGCATGCCATTCGTGAGCCTGTCATAAGTCAGGATTTCTGGTTTTGCTGCAGGAAAAAAGAGAAACAACCATATATCAGACTGCTGAAGGGCCTAGGAGATTCATGCCACTCCTTCTAATCCTTGGAACCCTTGGGATCTGCCTATGAGATGGAGGGAACATTTGTTTAAAGGGGAGAATCTGAGCCAGGAGTGGTAGATACAGGGAGGTGGACATAAGGATCCAGCTAGGAATGACTTTCACAGTGACTGCTGCACAGTTCTGACCTGGACTATCACCTTCACCAGCAAATAGGGAAGTGGCCATCAACCCTTGCAGCCAGAGGGCACAGGATCACCAGTTTCTGCTCCCAGGGAGTGGGAATCTGAAAGACTGCTTCTTCCGGTCCAAACTCCAAGATTCTAAGGGGATCCCGGTCAAAGGATTCCTGCCAATGGGATTTTGAAGTTACTGAACCTGCGATGGGTGCAGTGACTGTGTGAACTGGAATGGATGAAATTAGGAGTTGTTAACAAAAAAAGAAAAGCCCTACTCTCTTCTTAAGGGACCAGAGGGGCAGGGATGATAAGGGATAAACACCCTTTTGATAGGGAAGCTAAAACATCAGAGTAAAGACAATATAGATTTTTAACTCCAAATCTTTATTTCAGATACCAAAAAAACAAACAGAAAATTAGAAGAGGAAACTAGACCAAGAATTTTATTCATACATGTGTCAAGAGTTTGAATATAATTAGGAAAAACATAAATTGCATCAGCAGGAAGGCTCTAATTTGACATTTCTGTGAAACTATTATAATCAATGGGTATTCAACAAGTTCAAGTCCTTGAAATTATTTCTAAAGTGAAAGAAAGATAAATTTAGATTGGGTTGCTTCCTATCCCTTTGAAGATGAGTAAGCTAAACTACAAGCATCATGAGGACAGGGATGGTAATGTGCTCCCCCTTACTCCTAGAGAGGCAGCTCCCACTGCTCCAAGGCTGAGTACAGAACCGTGAGGGTGGTGTGTGGACAATTTGAACACCAGCTCCCAAACTTAGCCATTCTCTGCCACTGAATTCTACTTGCCATGTGTAAACTGGGAATAATAACAAGAGCTATCTTATAGAGATGTTCAGACAAGAAAGAGCATACAGTCATGCCAGAGGCCCGCTATTCCATCCCTAAGTGTGGGCAGACCCGGGGAGCAGCTGTGTGGCCCAGACCAGCACAGCTGCAGGCGAATCCCAGCCAGGCTCCGACACAACTCCAGAGGCTCAGGCACACCGCCCTCCAAGCCAAAGGCCTGCCCAGAAAGGGGTTGCATTGGCACACGGGCTTCAGCCTCTCCCATACCACTGGACACAGCCAGAGACCTGCCTGGAGAAGAGCTGTATAGGCAAACAAGCAATATTCCCAGAGGCTCGCCCTGATACCATTGATAAGTGTGAGGAGACCTTAGCCAAAGCCTGTGCAGACAACAGAAACTGGGGTGCACAGCTCCCAACCAAAGGCCCTCCCAGACAATAGCTACATAGGGCCCCCAGTTAGAGGTACGCCTATATACCATGCCAAGTGTGCTCAGGCCCCAGCCAGAAGCCTGCCCAGACAACAGGTCAGCTCAGGGATCTAGAAGGCCACCATCCTGAACCCAGGAACTGGTGTACTTTTGAGCAGCAGAGTAAAGGCGGCTTGGTGGCTTGCTGACAATTCAAGACCACAAGGTGAGCAAAAACTTGCCTAAACAAAGACAAAGCAGGCTGTACCTGTTTAAGTGAGAAGACATGTGAACAAGTCTCAAAACCAGACTTCCAGATCACCTACAGCAACCCCAAAGGGAAATGAGATGGAACACTCTGATACTCAACCA